TTGCCCTACCCTCAACCTCAAACACAAATGCCCCACCCTGAACCCCAACAAGGCTAGAAATCCTAACCCCATCCCCATCCCTATAGGGAATATGGATCCTTTAATTTGCCCCACCCTGTCCTAGTCAATCCTATTTGTATGCTTACAAATTTATTATTATCTTTTATTTTTTAGAAACCTACCTAGGACTATTTAATATTATATAGTACAACATATAGTATTTTAATATAATATAACATATATTAATAGTTATATCGGTGTTAGAGTCAGGGCGGGGTGGACAAATACCATCCCCGCCCTGTTCCTGATCCCTAGAATTATGGGTTTCCACAAACTTGCCCCAAACTCCAAACAATGGTAAAAAAACCAGCCCCAATTGGGTGGAGTGTTGGAAGGGTTAGAAATTAGATTAGACATAGCTACACTAGATCTAGTGACTAGCCAAATTTTTAATATTTTTCTAACCCAACCTGGGAATTGATTTCCTAGTAATTTTGAATCTAAAATTTCAAGATCAATCTTACATTGAACTGAACTGAATTTGAAACCCAAATTAGTAGTGATTGTACCTAATATGGAGACCACAATGTGCAACTCCTAGAGTGGTAATTCACACCCAATATCAAATCCAAAATTGGCTTCCAACTGAAGATGGTGTAGTTGTGTGTGCATAGCCAATTTGGAAAAATCGATTCCCAACTTGATTGGATTGATGTGTTGTGTGAACTTGATATCCTTAGATGTTTTTCTTCCAAAAACACCTTAGAGAACTGGTGGAAATTAGTACCTAAAACAGTTGGGTCAAATTAGAATTTGTGGGAAGCAAGGGAGAAGAAAGTAAAGCAAGAGAATGAAGCGAATTTAGTGTATCATACCTTCCCTTTTAATCCACTATATAGAGCACTCTCCTAATCCTATTAAGAGTTGTTTTAGATTAGGAATTTATACTCAAGTCTATACCCATTTTTGACCTAAATCACATGACAAGAAAGGATCTCTTAACTAATCATATGGGCCATAGGCCTATTTTCTTTAATGGTTCACATCCCAAGGTGTTGCATAGCCACTTTGTGCTTGAATATTATATGGCATGGAACCCATAAAAGTCTCACACAAGTCCACAAGAGTTCAATTTCACCTCTAGAAGATGTTAGGCCAAATTCACTACTCAAGGGCAATGAACCCTTGACTCAATCAACTTGGGCTCAGTTTGGTCCCAACATTTATATATAAATAACCCTTGGATTCAACCACCCTATGAAAACTCAAAGATAATAGACTTATGTAAAATAAAACCCATCAGGTAATCAACCCTGTAATGGTCACTTTCACCTAATCTCTCGGCCCATAATCATCAAAACACTACCTCGGGGAATGACCTATTTGTCTATAAAATGCAATATCATGCTCTTTGCTTGGATGGATCACGGGATTAAAACTTTTTGCAAACATTTTTCATAAAATAGTAATATTACATATAAATATATTTTGCAAATTAGATTTCAAATACAGTTAAGATTCATTGCCGATAGTTTAGGTTTAATTCTATCAAAGAGAGTGTAAACCTTGATATTCACTTTGTTTAACAAATGGGCCAATCCTATCATTATAGTCACCTACTTAAGTAATTTCATAAACTGTCCTAATATACCTAGATATTTAACCCTTGATGGATCTCATTGATTAGCATATCAAAGACAATTCAATCCAAAACCTAATGCAATATTATAATTAGGTTTGCGGTTAAGTGCAACTTTCCTAAGCATAACTAGAAATTGCTCTGAGTTTACTGTTTCTTTCAAACACCCACTATTTGTGCTTAAGGTCTAACTATAGCAATTGAGACAAATTGCTCCACAACACACTAATGCCATCATTGTTAGGATAAACTCCCCAAGCCTATGCAATGATTAAGAACATTTTAAATTAACATTAGTCTCATAAGTGTCTAATTTAAGGAGTCACAAAAGCACATCAATTTGAATATAAAACAATAATGTACTTTATTTCTTTACTAATAAATTTTTATGTACATCAATCTGCTTATAGCTAAAGGGCATATACTGTCTATTACAGGCCCTCATAGGGATGGGTCAAATTGCCATCTCTAATGAGAATTATCAAAATCCATCCTCTTTTTTTTTTTTATGGATTTTGAGAATCAAAGTCCTTAAAATTGACGCCAAATGAAGCCTTAAATTTCAAGATATGGAAACAAGACTACCCATGTGGTGGCCAAACATGCTCTTAGCCTCTTACTATTTCCCATGCTCATACTTGGACATGCTACTCTGTTATGTGATTGTATTCCTTAGCAATGAGCACATTAAGTTGACCTTTTGGTGCGCACTACACTTTAAGCTTTTTTTTTTTTTTGAAGGCAAGCTTTTTTTGAGGATAGATTATTTTGGTGGGGATCTACCCTGAGTCGTTAGAACCTCATGTATGTAATTCCTTTTGTTTTTAATATAGTTTCTACTAGCGGAAAGGGCCCCGTTCTAAGCATGGACCAGTAGACCTTAAAAAGGTATATTATCTATATATGAAAAAGGCATATTTTCTATTGGAAATGAACATAAGGTATAATTTTGTATATAGTTTTACAAAGGCTCAGATTGGAAAGAATACAAATACAAATATGTAGAGTGCAAAGCCTTATATTTTGTATGAATTTGTAATGTACATATTTGCATTTTGCATTTGTATTCCTTCCAAACTTGCCAAAGAATAAAAGGCAAAGATATAATGTTGTTTAAACAAAATATGTCCATAAGAAGAGAGTATGCCTATCAATTTTGTCTCTTAGACTGGTTGTTTTCTCCTTGGATGAACTTCTTCTTTTTACCTTCAATGGATACAAAAACATAATCAACAAATTGGTATTTATATTGGTGAACTAATGTAGAGGTCCAAAGTGAATATATTCTTACGATGGGAAGTTTCAGTTTGACATTCAACGTCCCTTGTTGGGGCGGTATTTGCAAAATGAAGCAAGTTAGTGGTGTCACATGAAGTGCAAGGAGGTTCCTGCAAGTTTTGGGTTTGACACTGCATGCAAGGTGATCATGTTTGTTAATTTTCACACCTTTAGTTCTAATATCAATTAATTTATCTCCTCCGATCCATGCAACTCTAGAAACCTGTCAGACCCAAGAACCCTTCGACCAGATCAAGTCACCGTCCTAATCAATGGCTATTCCGAATCACGACTCCATCAACTCCATTTGATCGCCACAATGTACTCTTCCAATTCCTCTGTCGCCGTCGTATTCATTCTTTGGGGCAGCCCTACCACCCAATAGAGGATCTTAACCCAACTAAATGAAAACTCCACTTCCTCCTATCTTGGCTGTGCACCGATCTCCATACACCGCCAATCCTCCAACAACCTCAATGCTTGATTCCTCCGAGATCGTCTTGGATCACAACATGCACTGTTGTGATTTGCGACAACGACGCGGAAATCAATTCCAAATGTGAACTGAGGGAGAGAAGAATGATGACTTGAGGAGAGAGATGGGCTTGGGGGAGAGACGAGGAGAGATGCAAAGAGATAGAGAGAGAAGTGAGAGAGAGGAATCAGAGCTTAAAAGACTGTTGCATGAGGATTATGTTAATCTTCCCATTCTGAGAATTGGTTAAATCTGATTGTATTTTTTAATTTCTTTGTTGGGGTGGGTTTTGAGAGGGTGGTGATGAGTGCTTTTTGTATTGGGCATGGGGCAAGGCGGGTTATGTCCTCCCCTGTATATTTGATTTTCCTTTTGATAATGGGAATCAGAGAAGAGAGAAATTGAGACGGAAAGAAACTCTTAGGGCCTGTTCATTTGCTCTAAGTCTGACATTGAAAGTGTAAAAATTACATTAAGAAATATATTGGTATTGGTGAACTTTTCTTTCCTTTGAACTCTGAATGTAGAGAATGTTGCTCTGAATTTTGAATTTTGAAAACTATCAAATATCTATTTTGACCCTATATATGAGAGTTTTTGTTTGTCTTTCTGGAGTATCATTGGAAAACAAAAAGTTGTATGATTGAACTTTAAGAGATAAGAGATAAGAGGAAACGAACAACCAATTTTCTCTTAAAGTTAAAAGATTTCTCTTAAGAGATAAGAATTAAGAGGAAACAAACAAACCCTTAGATCGCTTAGATATGTGAGTCACACTATATTCTTGCTGCACACTCTAAGCCATTGATTTTGCCATGTGGCGAGATTTCTGTGTGTAAGTAAATATAACAAAACATTAAGGGCAAACCATGAAAAATAATATAACTTTATTGTTAGATTCCAAATATTGAAACCTCGTACATTCCTATGTACAAATTCTTAAATGATATAGATTTCATTTGTAAAATATTTACCCAAAAAAATAGGATAAATTATAAATAGGTACCCTATACTTTGGGGAATATGGGGTAGTGACAGATACCTCGAACATTCAATTGCGTTACTTGAGTACCCTAAACTTTTAAAAATAGACACTTGGGGTCCATCTGTTTAGTTAAATATTACATAATATCAAAAATACCCTTCTCGTGTATTTTTTAGATCATTCTATGGAGTCAAATCATCACTAAAGAATGCCATCGTCAGAAATTTTGAATATATTATTTACTGTCCAACGGAATACTGACGGATGGACTTTAGGCTGTGTTTGGTTGTAGTGCAAATTTATTTTCATTAGTACAAATGTACAGGAGCGCAAATGTAAAAAATGCAAATTTTTGTTTAATTTTAGTTTGGTGCTTCGTATCTTGTCTTACAAAAATAGGTCAGAATTTTACCTTGCAACCAAACATGTCTAATTTTGAGATTTCTTACTTCTTAGTTTCTTACAATTAAAAGTAGAGAGGGTTTTAATTTACTAAAAAAAAATATTTCATCTTAAAAAAGAAGTTTCCGTATGAGCCAGTAGTTGGAGGACGAAATAAAATTCCGTGGCTTTTTGTCATGCACCGTGAAAAGCGGAAGTAGCTACGACATGGTAGGACCCAAATTTTTTCTTGTGGGGTTCACACCTTTGGCGCGAAGGCCAGACATATTCTTTCCATCTCAAATCTCAATCACATTTCATACGCTCCCAGAGTCCCACTCCATCTTTCAGTATGTCGTCTACTCACAACCTTTAAACATCCGAGAGGCTCAGGTTCACACAACTCATCGTTCCTGGGTTTTGAATTACATTTATTCAAAATCCCAATTTTAAATTCTTTGATTTTCTGAGTCCTTAAATGTAGGAACTGGAAAAGGCCAAGTCTTGGTTTTGTAATCATCAAATAATCCGACCTTCTGTCTCTCTTTTGATTTCTGTCGAATTTTGCATAATTCCTCAATTTCTCAAACCTCGAATCTCGTATTTGGTTTTCAGGGTTCAGTCATCAGTGTGATTAGTTTCATTCGGATTTTTTAAAAAAGGGTTCATGGCTTTGCAAGTGAGCACAGCGGGTTTTTCTCTGTTTCATCAAAGAAGGGTTCAGAGAATAAGAGCCGTTGCTTCTGAGGAGTTCGCTTCCTTGAAAACACAAGAAGATAAAGTAAAGTTGGGAGGTTCCGACTTGAAGGTCACAAAGCTGGGAATTGGAGCTTGGTCATGGGGCGACACCTCCTACTGGAATAATTTCGAATGGGATGGTACGGTTTGAAAACAAAAACTATATGTTTATTAGTTTATTCTTGAAATTTAGAATCAACTAATTCCTCGGAGTTTCGTATTGAAAATTACAGTGCTTTAAGGAAGTAGTCTTGTTTGAAAGAATGAACAATTCGAATCATTGATTGTTCTTCCAAATATTGATAAGGTTCAACCTTGTGTCAATGGTTGCATTGGTTAATCTGTTAATGGGTCATTGATTATCTAGTGAACTATCCCGGAAACATATAGAGTGGAAGTTTTTCCTTTTATTTGCTTTACTTGTTATTGATTATAAATTTATAATGGTTCATCTGCATATGTGTTACTAAGTTTGGATTTATATGAGGTTTCACATCTTTTATTGGGGGGGGGGGGGTTAATCAGTTTGCTGATTTATGTGATTTATTTCTAGGTTTATGTATTTATTTTTATTTGTAGACTTGTTACTAAAAGAATTCTGTAGATTTTTAATTGATTGTTTTATCTTTTGGTAATGGCAGATAGGAAGCTGAAGGCAGCAAATTCTGCTTTCAATGCCAGTATAGATTGTGGTATAACTCTATTTGATACAGCTGAAGTTTATGGCTCAAGGGTGAGAAGATAGATTTTCCTTTTTTTTTTTTTCTGTTTTCTCCTTTAATGTTCCATTGATTGGGGAAAAGTATTAACTGGGATCAAATGCACATCCTCTTTGCATGCAGTTGTCTTTTGGTGCAATAAATTCTGAAACTCTACTTGGAAGGTAATGATTCAATAGCAGAGCCAATTATTTTTCTATGGAGCTTGTTCCTGATTTTGTTTAAGTATATCATCCGAAACTTTTATGAATAGAGAATCCTAATGTGTTCCATATGTTAAAAATTGAGGATTCTAAATTGGTAAATTTATACCTGTTTCTGTTAAGGTTCATTAAGGAAAGGAAGGCAAAAGTTCCAGAATTAGAGGTAGCTGTTGCGACCAAGTTTGCTGCTCTGCCATGGAGGTTGGGTCGTGGTAGTGTTGTTGCAGCTCTTAAGGATTCTCTGTGTCGCCTTGGACTTTCTTCAGTGGACCTCTACCAGCTCCACTGGTCTGTTCTGCATGGGCATATAATTGCTAGCATTTCTAAATTTTTCTGTGAAAACTAGTGTCTGATTAAGATAATTGTGATAATCCAGGCCTGGAATCTGGGGAAATGAAGGTTGGAGCATTCAATAAATGAGCTAACATGGTTACAAACATTGACTTTTTAATTCCTTAATACCTTTTCAAGAAGCTCACATGCAGTTAATACGAATATCATTTCAGGTTATATTGATGGGCTTGGAGATGCTGTTGAGCAGGGACTTGTTAAGTCTGTGGGTGTTTCAAATTACAATGGTGATTTCCTATTTAGAGCCATAGGTCTTCTTTCTATATGTTCCTAATGTGTCAAAATCAATGTTTTCAACCCACGTAAAACTGGCCTGTCAGACTGGTTGATCCATCACCTGGCCAGATTTCTAGTCTGTTTCATCCCCTAACAGCTCACTTGCAAAACACTGTTGACTCATCAATGATCTCTGGTGACCTGTCCAGTTGAACTGCTGAGCCGTTTGACCTGGTAAGCAGGTCAAGGGTTAGGCATTTATTCTCTTATTCTTTTTTTATTGTAATTTTTAGCTATTTCCATCATTAATGACAGTAGTTCTTATTTATCACATTTATTTTGGTTTGATATGATGAACTATAATATGAGACATACCCAATTTTTTCTATAAAATTTCTTTTACTTTTTTATAGTTTTTTTTTTTATTTTATATATTTTTTAATATTTGTGTTTAATTTATGATATCATGGGTTGGCCCACCAAGATGGTTGAACTACTGAACCACCACCCAGATGGAAAAGCAGTTCTGTTTCTGGGTCCATTTTAAAAACATTGGTCAAAATGTTCCTTTGCTCCATAGCAAGGACAATCCAAGGATTTCTACACCCATTGTCACACTATCCTGTTAATATCACTTTTGGGCCTGGCCACCTACAAGATGCAACTTTAAGTATATATATAGATTCAGGATTCAGGACCAACTTTTCTGTCTATAGCAGCCATTTATCTAGAGTTTTTATTGTTGGGTTGTCTGAATTTTTATTGAGCATCCGATGGTATGACCCTATGACGTACTTAATCTTCAAATAACAGAAATACTTCCCTTCTTTTATTGCCTGTACATTATGCATAAGCTATTTTCTTTGGTCTGTGAGCAAATATCTTGTTATTTCATGTCAACCTGTAGGAATATGTAGAGTATATGTGTTAGAAACTATTTATTTTCTTAATTGTATTAGGCAGCAGGGTACCAGTGTCTTTTTGTCTTTCTTTTATTTCTGTTTTACTTGTTACTTAAGCAGGGGTATTTCAGACATTGCACACACGTTTAATATCATGATAAAAGTGGGGAGGCAGTGAAGTTAGTTTTCTCTTCCTGTCTGTTGCAGTCTTGGTTTCTTCCCTCTTCTTCTTCTTCTCTTATCTTCTCTTCTCATCTTTCGCCCAGATCAGTTCAGCCTCTTTTCCTTTTATTTTTGTTCAACTCTTCATTCTAGAGGAGGTTACATTATATCAGAGCTGATGTGATAAACTTGGACCCCTTTTGGTCACCATACGGCTTCTTGGACTGAGCATAACTTCACTATTTATTGGATGAAAAAGGGGAGACTTAAAAGCACTGGTCGTTTTTTCAGTCTAGGAGGTAATCATGCCTCCAGTTGTTGCTGTGTGTTTTGTTTCATTAGGTTGCTGAGAACCTCATTCCAGTGGTTCAGAGAGGGTAAATACAGTGGAACAGGTTAGTTGAATGCATCCCCCTCTTGTTTGTGATTATAGTGTGGTAGTGAGATTTTTATGTGCTTAAATGATTGGTTAGCATTTCAAGTGTGTGAAACCATTTTTGTGTTTTTCTTACTGCTAGAAATTGAAATTTGAAGTTTCCAGAAGCTGCAAACACTTGGTAGTCTTGCTGTAACACTACAGCAGACTTAACTTCCTTATTTGATGAAGCCATAAGGCTGAAACTTCCCTTAGTCTCAAACCAACAACTAATCAGTGCAAAAGATAATGCACTGATTATGGTATGGCTGTGTAATAGTATGGAAAATGATATTAGTGTTAATCTTAAGTTTCTAGGCACTACCAAAGAGATTTAAGACCATGAAAAGCAAGCTCTATTCAAGACAGAATGATGTAACAAGGATATATCAATTATATTATTTATTCACTCTTTAACAGGGTAACAAGAGTGTAGAAGAGTATTATGTAGCTTTGAAGAATCTCAGGAATGAGCTAAATTTGTATCACTCCTTGTTTGCAAACTTGAAGGTGCAACAGGAACAGAGAGAATATCTAGATGTGACTAGATTCTTGTCTGGGTTGAGAGTTGAATTTGAACTAGTGCATGCTTAGATTCTTAGTAGTATTGACATCCCGTCTCTCTTATAGGGGTAGAGGTGGTGGTGGACATGGTTCAATGTGTGACAGTGTGAGTGTAGTTACTGTGGACATGAAGGGAATACAATAAATTTTTTCTATGATTTGCGTGGCCCGCCATCTACATTGGTCAATCATGCATTGGCTAGAGAGGATCATTGTGTTATTAGTGGTGACCTTTTTGCTTCGGGTGCTGGGAAGGAAAAGAAGATGATATCTATCAGACATGATGAGTATGGAAAGCTTTGTTTATCTTTGTCTAATTCTGGTAACACTTCTTGCTAAAATAGGTATAACTTTCCTGGCTTCTTCTATATCTTGGGTTATAGACTTTGGAGCCTCAAACCACATCATTGGGTCTCTATACTAGTTTGTTTCCTTTTCCCTACCCTTTACCTCCCCACTCAGGTTTTTGTAATATAAAGCTTAGTTAATATTTGGTTTTGCCCTTAGTTTTATATTCCAAAGTTTCTCTATAGTTTGTTGTCTATGAGTAAATTAACAAGAACCATTTATTGCTCTGTCTTATTCTTTCCTTCCGATTGTATGTTCTGGGATCTCAAGACGGGGAAGATGATTAATGAAGGGCATGGAGTAGGAAGCTTGTATTATCTGGATTGTGGTGGTTTGCAAAAACCTCTACATGGTACACACAACACTTACACCTCTATAGTGGCATTGTTAATTGGGCCATCCATTTCTTCTCGTCCTCAAGAAGCTTGTTCCTAGTTTAGCATTTATTACAGAATTACAGTGCATGTTATGTCAGCTTAGTAAACATCATAGAGTGTTTTTTGTTCCTAGGGATAGTAATAGAGTTTGAAGTCCATTTATACTTGTTTATTTAGATGTTTGGGGTCTTAGCCGTGTCGATTCTTATAGTGGATTCAAATATTTTGTTACATTTATTGATGATTATCCAAGGATGACTTGGCTTTATTTAATGAAAAAGCATTTAGAGTTGTTTGATATTTTTATTCTTTCTATGTTGATATTCAAACTAAGTTTGGCTTTTCTATTAAAATGTTTTGTTCTGACAATGTAATGGAATATTTTTAAGGACCCTTTCAGTTGTTTTTTTGATTCTCACCTCACGGAATTATCCACTAGTCTTCTTGTTCACACACACCCCAACAAATAAACATTTACTTGATACAACTCGAACTCTTTTAATTCAGATGTCCACTCCTAAAGCTTATTGGAGTGATGCTATACTTGCATCTTGCTTTCTCATAAATCATATGCCTTTGCTTGTTCTTGGTGGCGAGTCTCCTTTCTCCCTTCTTTTCCCTCTTTACCTTCTTTTCCTCTTTACCCTTGTATTTTTGATCGTGTTTATTTTGTTCACTGGTTTAGTCCTTGTTTGGATAAGCTTGAATTTTATGCTCTTAAGTGTGTATTTTGGGATATTCTTGAACCTAGAAAGGTTATAAATGTTATAGTCCTTCACTTCATTGGTCCTTTTTCCTTCTTGATGTATCCTTTTTTGTGAATGTACCATTTTTCTTTGTAGTAGAGTTTTCTTTGTCTCCTCTTCCATTGCTTATTCCTCCTACTATAAAGGTTTCCTTACCAACTATTGACCCATTGACTCCCACTATCGAGGCTAGTAAGTAGGCACTCATTTACAGAGTGTATACTACAGGACCATGGGGAATTTTTTCTTCAACTCCAACTTTCGCCAAACCATAATCAGCTTTACCATCGTTAGATCTACCTAATATAGACTTGCCCATTGCCCTTTTGGAGGAGATCGGCTTAAGTGCTCACAAGACCGTGATCACACCGTTTGCACAACCTTTTACACTGTGCATTGGGAATATCCCCATACTTGTATAATTTTTTTATGGGGAGATATTCCCAATGCAAGTCTGCAAGGGACTGTGCGAACGGTGTGACCACGGTCTTGTGAGTACTGAAGCCGATTTCCTTTTGGAGTGATAAGTGTAGGGTTGTAATTGGATCGGATTCAGCAAAATCCAAATCCTATCCGATCATTGAAACCTTACACCCGAATCCAATCCAAAATCTAGTTAGATTTGAAGACCTTGGGTTTGAATTCAAATTTGAGCGGACTCGAATCAGATTTAGATTTAATCTGACTCCACTTTAATCTTTTAAAATACAAAAAACTTAAAACATTAATTACTTTTCAACTTTTCTATATAATAAGCTAATCTAAATATAACATACTGAATGTATTATATAAATTCACATATAATATAATATATAAAATATATATATTTTTATAATATTAAATATAATTTTATAAAATTTATATATTAAAATTAATAAATATTATAATATAATCGGATTTGGATTTTAATTGTATGCAGATTGCAAAATCCAAATCCGATCCGATTACATAAGTACATCATCTGAATCCAGGATAATTAGATCAGATGTCGGATTAGGCCTCGGATTTTTGGGTATCATTGACATGCCTAGATAAGTTTGCTTGTATTGATCACCCTATTTTTTGTTATGTTCATTTGCTCACTAATCTCCTTCCTATAGGCTGTTTGTGTCTCTTTTTTTCTTCTATGTCTATTCCTTGTTTTGTTCAGGGAGCCTTTGTCTCATTTGATTGGAAGAAGGCAATAGATGAAGAGTTTCATCCTCTTGGATCTAACCACGCTTGGGAGTTCACCTACTTGACTTAGCAAACAAGTAGTAGGGTGCAAATGGGTTTACACTGTTAAGCATCTCCTTGATAGTAGTGTTGATTGGTGTAAGCCATCAGCCATGGTTGGTAGCAAAGGGGTACACTTAGATGTATGGGGTTGACTATACTGAGACTTCCTCTCCTATTGCCAAAATGGGCTCTCTACAAGTAATTATTTCTCTAGTTATGCACTTCGATTAGTCTCTATTTCAGTTTAACATCAAAAATGTTTTCTTCATGGTGAGCTTCATGAAGAGGTTTATATGGAGCAATCTCCTGGATATGTTGCTTAGGGAGAGGTAGCAAAAGTGTGTAATTTAAAGAAAGCGATTTATGGTTTCGAACAATCGCCACATGCCTGGTTTAGGAGGTTTAATAGTGTGGTTCAAGAGTTTGGTTTATGTTAGTGTAGTGTTGATCATTCATTTGTCAGTAGAAATACTTCTTTTGGCATGACTATTCTTGCAATATATGCTGATGACATCATTATTATAGGGAGTGATACTTGTGGAATTAATGAATTAAAACAGTTATTGCAGCACAAGTTCCAAACGAAGGAATTGGGATAGCTAAAGTAATTCCTAGGGATTGAGGTGGCAAGGTCTAAGTGGGGAATCTCTCTCTCACATAGGAAGTATCTGGATTTTTTGGAAGAAACAGGGTTGCTAGGGGCTAAGACAATTGAAACCCTTATTTACCTGAACACTGGATCACTAATAGTGAGTGGGAACTTTTGGAAGATCCAGCCATCCTGGAAAGTATATGAAGTTGGTGGGAAAACTTAACTATCTTACTATTAGTAGACCAGAAGTTTCATTCAGTATAGGAGTATCAGCTAGTTTATGGCTTTATGCAAAACTTGAGAACCAGTTATTGGCAAGGTATTGTCAGAGCCCTACGTTATTTGAAAGGTGCTCTGGGCAAAGAGGTTTGCTGTATAAGAGAGGGGAGAGTTAGTATTAGAAGATTACTCAAATGTAGATTGGGCATGATTAGTAATAGATGGGTAGTCCATTACAAGCTATTGCACTTTTCTTGGTGGAAATTTAATTACCTGGAAGAGTAAGAAATAGAGTGTAGTTGCCTGAAGTAGTGTTGAAGAAAAATACAAAGTGATGGCTCACACCACTGGTGAGCTATTTTGGTTGAAGCATTTGTTACAAGAAATTGGAGTGGAGATTCTTAAACCTATAAAGCTGTTCTGTGATAACCAAGCTGCAATTCATATCTCTTCCAAACTAGTATTCCATGAAAGAACCAAGCATGTAGAAGTAGATTTTCGTTTGTGAGAAAGAAGGTTACTAGTGGAGATTGGAGAAGTGGTTACCCTGTATGTGAAGTCAGAAGATCAGTTGGCTAATGTCTTTACTAAATCTGTACTTGCATGAATCATATTTGTAGCAAGTTGGACATCTATGATATTTATGCTCCAGAATGAGGGGGAGCGTTAGAAATTATTTATTTTCTTAATTGTATTAGGTGACAGGATACAAATGTCTTTTTTTTCTTTCTTTTATTTCTTTTTTTGCTTGTTAATTAGGAACGTAAGGGGGTAGATTTATATAATACTGAAGTATTTCTGCGGACCAACTGTAGTAGCAGGACTACAGGCTCCACGGTCGTCTGGTTAATAACACTTGTCTAAGGAGGACTGCTCCGCAAAGGCCAGCCCTAGACACTCTTCACACTCAGACCTGAACCTCGGATACCCTTCATGGGACATAAGACAGTAAATAAAGCAAGCTGCGGTCTAGGGAGTAAATAACTGAAAAGGCTGTTTGTACGACAGATTTTGTCTCCCCTGAGACGACACTTGGTAGGAGTCTGCAGGTTTGGGAATTAGAGTGAATACACTCCCTGCATCGCATCCCGACGATTAGAGCTATAAATAGTAGGGTTCATGATGTGAAAGGGGGTTATTCGAGCCATTCAATACTTTCGAAGTCGTTCTGTCACTAGTGACCTAACCCTAGAGTTCCTTCAGCTCCAACTATTCTATCAGTCTGAGCAGTTGAGCTTTCTCACTCTAGCATCATTCCATCCTTTATTCCCTAATGTTCTATGCTCATCTTCCCAATTGAGCCTTGTTCTTGATGACTTTTTCTTCCCAACATCCTACACTCTACCTCCAGAACTTACAGTTGGACCATCTCCACAGTGCCATACTTACAAGGAATATATCAGACATTGTACACAAGTTTAATATTATAATAAAAGTTGGGTGGCAGTTAGGGGAAGTTAGTTTTCTCTTCCTGTCTGCTGCAACATTATTTTCTTCCTTCTTTTTCTCTTGTAACATTATTCCAGATTAGTTCAGCTTCTTTTCCTTTTATTTTTTCTTCAACTTTTCATTTGTTTTAGGGGAGACCACAAACTGGTTTGTTAGTTATGTATAGGCTATTCTTTCTCCTTGTATGGCATTAATTAATCTATGTTGCATACCTTATGTTTTACAGAGAAGCGTCTTCGAGATGCTTACAAGCAGCTTAAGATCAGAGGTATTCCACTTGCTTCAAATCAGGTAAATTACAGCCTTATATACAGGGCTCCAGAAGAGAATGGTGTAAAAGCTGCCTGTGATGAGTTGGGGATCACTCTAATTGCATATTCTCCTATTGCCCAAGGTGTTATTCCATAAACGATATATTTACTTTGTTATATTTGTCTTTCTGCATGGCAATGAACAGAACAGAATGGTGAACAGGATTTATGTAGATGACCCATATAGTTGGGACAAGGCTTAGCTGATGATGATACTTGCATTTGGTGAAAATACATGCATTTATTCAGTTGTAATTTCATATTGTGTCAACACATCATCAATTTAGAGCATGCTTCAAGAACACATTATGCAATACTATTGAGCTGTAAATCTTGTACATTTGGCTTTAAATATTGCACATAAAGAGAACTGTGCATGGGTTGCTACAGGTACAGCTTTGCTATTTGTGAATACAAGTTGCAAGATTCACAGCTTGGTTATGCAATGTTAACAGCCTATGCTGCTTCAAAGTAGCTGTACTGCAAAACATTCAGTACTATAGAATTTGTAAATATGAATTTGAGTTAAAACATTTTTAAACTCAAAATAGACAAAATAATTCATTCTTATTGCTCTAGAGTTTGATTGAGTACTTGGTGAAGTTTGAAATTCCAGCATAATATTGTGACCCAAAGGAGGATGCAAGCTATAAAAGCAAAACATCACGAGGAAGAAATAGGATCATCACAATCTTTGCTGTTTTTTTCTTTTTTTTTTCTATTTTTTATTTCTTACCTATGGCCAATAATGTAAGTTATCCTTGTTGATCAGTACACACAGTGGTATGTATCGTGGAATTTCATCCTCTTGTACATCACAAGCATGTTGTTGTGCATGCATAGTGTATCAATTTCAAAAGCAACAGGTATCTGATATGGCACTGTAGTATAAATACTGTACTTTTCTGAAGGATATATGCTGTTACAGCACCACTTCTAAAATGTGTAAATGGTATATATTTTAGTAAATTACTAAAAATAATTTATAGATGAGGAGGGCTTAGAGAAATATGGCAAAATGTAAGTATTGAAAAATAATACCTACTACCTAGCTTGAAAATGATAGAGATAACTGTACCATATAGGTATCTTATGATCATGATACTATTTCCATTGTGATTTACACTGATGCTGCAATGTTACACTACCTTTCTCTAAGGGATGGAATCCTGATCTCTCATCTCTGTTTTCCTTTTCTAATTTTCTTGAGGTTATTAAAGTAGGCTTACTACTTGTTTTACAAAATGTTGTACAAACTAATGGATGTTTGTTTGACTGTACTTCACAGTTTGTAGTTTCCATGAAATCTTCATTTGTCTGTGTAATGATTCTTTTTGTTAGCTAATATTCAGTTAAGGTTTTTTCTTTCCACAATGTGTCTGTAATAATTCCAAATAGTGTTAGTTATTAGTTGGGAATTCAGAAATACCAAATAAACATTGTTCTATGAATGTACCTTCTCAAACTTGTAGGTGTTCTTACTGGAAAATACACACCACAAAATCCACCTTCTGGACCTCGAGGTCGAATTTACACTCCTGATTTCCTCACCAAGGTAAGAAGTTTACTGTCTTTTTCTATTCTATAATAGCCCACTAGATATCTCAGTGATAAGGTGTTGGGTGGTTTTGGTGGCTATTCAATGTTATATATGGTACTATACCATAGCAGGGTAATTATACTGCATATGTTATATTTAATAAAAGAAGGGAGTAGGCTGTTAAGAGATTATTCTTCTTTCTTCCCCAAAACTATACTCTTCCTTTCTCATATTTTCACATCTTCTCATTTAATTCTTCTCTCAACTTGATCAAAAAGTCATTTGTTGTGTCTTCAGAGTAGGGAAGATTTTTAAATGGTTAGTCGAGAAGGTATCAGGTTAGGATCCAGTAGTTGAAAGAGTGGAGAAAAAGGTTGCAACATGGAAGGCTAAATGTTTATCGAAGAGTCACCCCTATTAAGAGTGCTCTTTCCCTATTCATTACTTTTTATTTTCCCTATTCCTTCCAATGTGGCAAGAAGATTAGAATACACAAAGAGAGTTTCTATGCAAGGGTTGGAGGGAGGAGAAGAAGATCCGATCAGCAATTTGTTAGAATTAGATAAGCAAGCCTATGTTTAGGTGGGCCAAGTAGTAGAAACTTTATAAATGTTAAAATAATGTAAAGAAATGTAAAACAGTATAAAATATTATAAATCTAATAAAACAGTAAAAATAAAAGAGATACATAAAATATCAATAATAAAAAAATTAAAAATATATAGAAAATATCATATAATATTATTAAGGAATAATAAAAGTAAATATAAATGAATAATAATAACAATAAGTAAAGATATTTAAAATATTTTTAGTAATATGATAAAAGTATTTAAAAAGCAAAAATGGTTTTAGATTTGGGCTTGGGATGATTTAAGATGCAGGGTATATTTGGGTTTTATGAATTCTTAAAAGGGTACCACTGGAATGAATATTTCATGTGCTACCTCCGAATGCACTCAGAGGTAGCTCACAATCTGAGAAATCCAGAGGAGGTTTTAGTGTTCAGTGGCTCCATACGGAGGTGTAGCTGAACGACCACTGAACACTAAAAAAGTATGTTTTCAGCATTCAGTGGTCGATTCAGCATTACCGGAGTGCTACCTTAGTGCAAGAGGACGGGCTTGTATATTACTACAATAGTATCGTGAGCTATGGTTCATAGGCTGACCATAGATACTCATCACGGAATGTGGATAAGAACCTAGCTATTGACCATGGCGCATCACTTACACAAATAAAGTTTGCAGGCACAAGATGTGCAATTCCCATACAGCACACATGATCCATTAGGGCTTTCTATGAATAACACATGGTGAGATCATTAAGGGGTGATAACGATAACCTATAAAGGTTGGTAGTTGGTCCCCACTTTAAGACCTGATGCGTGTCCCTGTCGAATCAGCATAGGGATCTGCCCTAACTGCCTTGGGAATGTTTTGGAATCTCTCCTTCCATGCATGCATATGCAGTCTCTCTATCTATAAATAAGGGAGCCCTTCCCTTTAGGGGAGACTTCTAACACCCTTTCTTCCCCAATCCTTAACATCTTCTTTGAGACCTTAATTTCTCTAGTTCTCCGTCTTCTCAACTTCAGAGATTAGACTGCTCACACCAGCTCCTTACATTAAGAATCTCTAGTTAAGTTTTTATCTTAAGGAGAAGGATGCCACCAAGGAGATCTATGATTTAGGAAGAACCACAACCTCTGTTGCTGGAGGAGCCATTGAAATCACCTACTCACTCACTTAATGAGCAACAAGATGGTAGAGGAAACCTTTAATGATCATTTGGCCAACTTGGTTAAGTCTATGGCATGGTGGAGCACCTCGACAAGATGGAGGAGGCGTAGAGCCTGAAGTTTGTAAAGCTGTAGGAGAAGCAGGGCCATCTCTTCAGCTGGTTAAAAGAACGATTTCAATCACCGTAGCTTAGATCCATAGCGTCGTTGTCCATAGCAAGAGTATCAGTACAACAATAATTTGATCTAGAGCCCACTGTCGCCCCACACACTCTCAGCGGAGCAACAACACCAGTACTGCCTTGCAGCCACCTTACACCCCATTTCTCCATGACCTCCCTGTCTGGCACACAATTCTCTGGTCCCAGGGTTGAAGTGGTTCAACTTGGCACCAAATAATATTTAGTGCTGGGAGGAGTTGTTGGAGAAGTTCTCAGAAAGTGGTTTGTCATGGAGAGGTGTCTAATGATGGTAGATCTAAGGAATGTCAAGCAGAGCAGAGTGGACTTGTTGGAGTATGTGTAGAGCTTTAGACACAATTCCCAATAGGTGCTATAGGGTGAATCTTGAGAATCTACAGTTACAGGACTTTATGGGGCTTTGAGAGTGCACAGAAAAGACTACCTAGTCCCTGAAGCAGCCAAGGGATGACTGTGGATAGAGCTTGTAGCAAGAGGAAGTGTATGTGGTTGAAGGCATGTGTTGCAGGCCACCAACCCTTGGCAAAGGAGGGTGCCATGGGAGATAAAATTCACCAAGGGCACCACCTCCTCCACCATTCTTGCAGGGAAAGGAAGGTGATCATGATTATGAATAAGCTACTATAGGACAACAAGAACAAGTTACTGCCTGTTTCGTGGCCTCCCACCGAGGAAGAGAAGAAGAATAAGTGTTTTTGTGAGTTCTACTAGGCAGTATCCCATGATGTCATGGACTACTACTGTCTAAAAGTATTTCAAGGAGTTTATATGAATTATGGACTTTATGAAGACCCACGAACAGTATCAATGTGGTGAGTGGGTGGTCTTCAACCTAGCCTTGCTAGCCTGCTGGCCATGAGGTTTCTTCAGAATGCGCATTTGAAGTTGTTTTTCCAGGAGTTTATTGTAGAGTATTTGGTAGAGGATGGTTAGAGCTATGAAAAGATTGGTAGGGATGGAGTAGGACAGCACTTAGGGGTTGTCACATTTGGCCTTAGGGATGGCAATTCTCCCTATAAAACCGGGGTCCCACCATGCCCCACCCTGAATGGGTTGGGTTTTCCTCTCCCTATAAACGGGGACGAGATTTGCATATAATTCCCCAAACCCGCCTTGAATCTGGTGGTAAATTATTTAAATATTTGTAGGTTTAATATTAATTTTTAAAATACCCTTGAATTTCCCTCAAATTCCAAAAAACCTAAGATCCCATAATCACATTTCTAAAATACCCCAAAATTTCCATAATCCTATATCTAAAATACCCCTAAAATTTAATGTCTTTTTAGGTAATTTCTTTGGGATGGAGAAAATTCGGGGATTCACCGCCTCCAACGAGGGAAGAGTGCCCCACCCCGAACCTGCCCCGCCACTAGGGACGGGGTAGGGGATTTTGGATATGGGTGGGGATGGGGGGGGTGCCCTGCCCCGAATCTGCCCTGTTGCCATTCCTATTTGTCCTCAAGGATATGGTGGCAGAGGATCCCAACCACAACAGAACATTGTATGTCATTGGGTGGCTTAACGGCTATGAGGCGTGAAGAATGTTACTCGATTCCAGGAGCTTGGTCAACGTAGTATCAGTGCACACTCTATGGACCATGGGGATTGAGGACACAGGTGATAAGAGCATGACCATGGAGATTTTGGACTTCTAACACCCTGGCTGATACTGTCTCTTTGAAACTCTAATTTCTCTAGTTCTCCATCTTCTCAACTTTAGAGATTAGACTTCTCACACCACCACCTTACTCTTAGAGTGTGTCCTTTTGAGTTTGGTCGTGAGATCTGGTTGAATTGATTTTGGATTTGATATTTTTGGAGAATCTAGGTATACTTTTGTAAGATTTTTCTGCATTTTCAAGTTTGTATCTTACTATCTTTAAGGGTTTTTGGGTGATTTGGAAAGTTTGCCTAATCAGGCTGAGCAACTATTGAGTTGACAGCTTCACCAATTTGATATCAAGAGTGCCTTTCTACATAATGACTTTGAGGAAGAAGTTTCCATTTGGTCATTTACCTAGATTTCTACTCCTACATCAATGAGAGAAATTTGGCAGATTGAAGAAGGCAATTTATGGGATCAAATAAACAGGTGATCAATCTTACAGAAGATGAAGGGAAGTAACAACTAATTTCTGTCCCCAGCAATCTGGGCATGTGTGACACCACGAATCAGCTTGCGGGGAAATGTTGGATGTAATTGGGAGCTATCTTAATTTTCTATCTATCTATCTATCTACGCCCCTACAGGGGTTGTATCGGGGTCTGACCTGGTTTAGGGGTAGACTAGCCTTAAACCGACCCCTCTGAACCAGTTTCGAAGATAAAAAAAAGCAGAGCGAGCTTCGGTACAGGCCGATACGCCCCTACCGGCATATTGGCCTGTATCGATATTTTAAACCTTGAATAATATATATATATATTTATATATATATATATATAGATAGATAGATAGATATATTGTTATAGAGTTAATTACTTGTATACCCTGAGCTTTGAAGAAACTACTTATCCCTGTAGTTTTAAAAACTACTTAGATATACCTTGTTGAACTTTCAAATGTTAAGTGTAAGAGAAGGACAAAACTGTCATCTGTTCATTAAATTCTCAAAACATGCCAGTCATCTTCTTTTTCTTCTTCACTGCTGCATACAACATTGAATGAGAGCAGGGAGTGCCTGTCTTCTTTCCTATTTCTCCTTCTTTCTCTTTTTCCCTTCCTCCTTCCCTTCTCTCTAGAGAGAGGGAGAAGCGGTTCATTAACAGAGGGCCTGTTTATGTTTTGTGGAGCTAGATTAGAAGGCATATATAAGTAGTTTTCTAAAACTACAGGGTATATTAAAGTAGCTAATATAAGTAATTAACTCTTATATTATATTGAAAAAAAGGGGAAGGCTGTCAAGAGATTATCCCTGTTTTCTTTGCAAAAATTCTTACTTTTTTTTTCCTTTTTCTTCTCATTCCATCCTCTTAACTTAAGGTATTCTTGAAAAAGAGTTGGGTGAGATTTCTAGCATATTGTTTCCATGACCACCAGATCTGACATCAATGGTTGTGTTGTGCAGTTACAACCTGTGTTGAACAGAATCATGGAAATAGGACAAAGCTATGGCAGGACTCCCACTCAGGTTCTCCTTTGTCTTTACTGGATAGATAATTACTTATTTTGGATTTCTGAAGTTTCCAAAGTGGCTGCCTTAAAGTAGTAAAAGCTAAAACAACAAGAGAATAGGGCCATTATATATATTTCAAATAGTGATTAAAAAAAAACTAGCTTCAAAATTTTCCAAGAATGGGCATTTGTATGTGCGCCTCAATGCATAGATATAGGGGTAAGTATTTGCTCATGCACCTTGCCTATGGATATGCTTGTTATTGGTTACTACCTAATCCAAGGCCTTTGGATTGATTGGAATTGACATTGAGTTGTTATTTTGTTATTCGATCCTTTTGCATTAGAAAATCAATTCAGTTGAAGAACATCTAGTTGGACTCTAATAACCATTGGACCCATTAACATTGAACGTCCACCTTATAGTGTTGGATCCAATTAGATGGTATTTGTATTTTAGTCTCAGATCCTTTGGAGTTCATCAAAGATAAAGCAAGATTTCTAAGTAGCATGATTGGCCTACAGGTGGTTCTCAACTGGCTAATAGCCCAAGAGAATGTAATACCCATCCCTGGAGCCAAAACTGCGGAACAAGCAAAGGATTTTGCAGGTGCACTTGGGTGGCGACTTACCAACGAGGAGATTGTTGAGCTGCGATCGTTGGCATCCGAAGTAAAACCTGTCATTGGGTTTCCTGTTGAGAACTTGTAGTTCTTTTTTGGCATTGATGATGTGGATTTAGTCCCTAAAGGGGCAAGAGGTGCTGTACACTAGACCTAGTTAGTGGGTTAGTGTGGTTTGTGCCAGTGCTAGGGTGCACACAGGGCCCACTGGCACAACGTGGAGAGCCTGACTTTTTCAATCACAGGGATGCGTTATGACCAACTCGACATTAGTGAATTGGCACTTGTAATTTATAGACAATTTATTATTTTATTCAATCATTCAATGTAATGTGATCACAACTGTATCATTAATGAGCTTACAGTGATATTCTGCATGTAAAGGTTTCCAGCGAAAATATGTTTTCACTTTTCAGAGCTTAATGTGAGGTGAAGAAGTCAACTACACAGAAAATATGCAATGGGCATTTTAATAACTTGATAAATGACCAATTTTAATTGTTTTTACTTTTTTTAGTAAATGCTAGCTTATCAATATTTTTTTATGATTCTCTTAAAGGAACTGATCAAAGTGTATATTCAAAGGGAAAAAGGGAAAATTCTCTACTAGTATCCTGTAATTTGGGCCTAATGCAATTTGGTCTCCAAAGTCCAAACTTTAAATTCCGATAATTCAGTATCCAAACTTCTAAAATGTGCTAATCCGGTACCTACGGTTACTTAATCCGTTAATCAACCGTTAAGTGGCATTTGAAAAGACAAAAATTTCTTTCGAGTGTCATCTAATTTTTTTTATTAATCATCCAAATGCTAACAATAAATGAACAGGCCCAAATCTTTGTCTCTTCTATTCAAAAAGGTTGGGTCATTAGAATGACCACTGAGATGTGATCCCCAACTTTTTTGAATATAAAAGGCAAGGATTTGGGATTGTTCATTTTGTCAATGTTTAGATGGTTGATAAAGAGAATTAGATGACACTTGAAGGGTATGTGTTTTTTCAAATGCCACTTAATGGCTAGTTAATGACCTAGCTAATGGTAGGTATTGGATTGACACGTTTTCAAAGAGGATGTTTGCAACCGTGGCCGTTTTTCAAAAAAACAGTGCCATGTCGGATCCACATAGGCGTTTCAACAAATATTCATGTATCTCATTGTTTGGTTCAGCCGATTATTAAAAAGTTGGGCATGTCTTGAAAATCGAGACCCCACCGATGCATGAAACACCAAATTTGGCATTTCATGCATTGGTGAACCATTTCCCTCAACGGTTGAATGGTGTGTATCTTATGTGGTGCTTACCTGTCAGTACATACATGAAATACGGTAATGAAAAGCGGTGTTTACCAAACAGCATAGTGTTGCTCACTGCCTACGTGACAAAAGTGTTATTTTTTGTGAAAAATGGGTCTTGGAAGCATGGACGTTTTTTCTTGAAAACCGGTCCCAAAAGTACCCATGCTTCCAAACACCATGAAAGTTTTGAGTACTGAATTATTGTGTTTTAAGGTTGGCCAAAGTGGCACTAGGCCCAAAGTGTAAGGTACTAATTGGAAATTTTCCCATATTCAAAATATGAATTCACATCAATCCCCACAGGGCGTGCCCTAGAGTGCATCTCAACCATATATTAGAAACATCTCCCAATGCCAAATGTGAGATATTCCCAATGCACGCCGAGATGCACAAGTGGGGCGCTGTGGTTGCAAGACAAACCTGATCATGGTTTTCAAAACTGGGGCGGACCAGATGGTCAGACCAGAAAAACTAGGAATCGGTTAGTTGACCGGTTCCGTTATACTCCAAAATCGTTATTTTGCCAAAAAATGTTGATTTGGTCAGCAAATGCTGATTCAGACATTTGAATCGTGTGAACTGTTCAACAGTTTTGACCATTTTTTATTTTTTTTAATTATTTTATTAGAACAGGCCGTCCATTCAATTTGAACAATCAGATCATTCGACCCGGAAACTAAACCCCTAACCGGCTCATTGTCCGATTCAATTTTAAAAACATTGCACCCGATTGATGTAATATTTTGTCTTTTTCACTAGGCTCAAAAATCACCGGGGGTGTCGGGTTTATCCTACTTTATTTTTATCTTGGGCAAATTACTTGAACCTCCCTCTAGTTTCCAACAAGTGATTTAAACTTTCCGCTTTGATCTCTCCAAAAACCCCTCTTGAGCTTCAGATAAATTATACAGATTGACCCCTTCTGATAATTGACATTTTTTAATTTGTAAAACCTATAGTTGACCTTAAGGCTGTGTTGGGTTTGAAAAAAAGGGAAAGGAAAGAAAGAGAAATGGAGGAAAACCTATACAAGGTTTGTATAGGGCTGTTATCCGTGGACTCTAATGATGTTTGGCTCTAGAACATTTTACAAGCGTTCCGCTTCACAAGTTGGTCCTTATTCATAAGTGATTTGTTTTGCTTTTTCTTTTTTCTTTTTTTTTTCTTTTTTTTTTTTTTTAAGAAACACAAGTGAAAAGGGGATTGTTGGTCATGGTTGAACTGGTCCTGAGGGACACATGGCTGCCCAGCCGTTGCCTGATCATCCCAACCACGTTGGCATAATTCGGCCAGGTTCGTAGTATACGTTGGCTCCGCAACCTAGGTCGGGCTACGCTATTATTGTAGCCCCCCATCTTATCTTTTCAGCCACGTCAGCTACACGTCATGCGGATAAGTACGACCACGGATAAGAACAGGGAGGAGGACAACTTCGTTGGGGAATAGAACTCTATCCCAAAAACCTCGACGAATAATCTCATCCCAATAACTCTGAAAGCTTAACCCAACCATGACACGGGTTTTCAACTATGAAAAGGTATTCCATGGTCAAATGCCGTTTTTTACCAATTCTGTTTAATTGCTGATGTAGCGTGCATGGGACATCAACAGAAACGGAATACTTGTGAAACACTCCAGTGCCAAACACCTACTAAAAATTTATACCCGATTCAACACCAAATCTGATTATGTTGGGGTTTGGGTTTGGATGTTAGAACTTGCATCCGATTAATAGTATGATCAGATGCAGATTTAAGAATAATCCAATCCGATTAAAATTTTCTCTCTCTCTTTCTCAATATATATATATATATATCCAATTGTGCTTTATATTTTCTCAATTTTATTGTTTTTTCTTAAAAAAGTGTGAAAGATACACGTCCCATGTGTGAGTACATATATTCACTTTCCATCTTCAGTGCCAATTAAAAAATTTCTCATAATTTTGTCTTGGGTTCTTTTATTAAAATTTCACGTGTGAGAGATACAAGTTCCATAACCAAGAGATACTAAGGCTGTGGTTGTAACCGATAATCTTAGATGTCTCCCACCCCCAGGGGCGGGCTTCTGGGAGCACAAGATTTTAGGAAAGGTATTAGGAGTGAGCAAAAAAACTGAAAAATTAATCAATCTAAAAAATCGATCAAAATCGAATTGAAAAATCGGTTAATCAAACTGGTTCGGTTTTGTTTCGATGTTTTCAAAAAAATTAAAAGTTTAATTTCAGTTTCTGTTAATCATTTAAAAAATCCAACGGTTAATCGAACTGTCCGATATATATTTTTATATAATATTATATATATATATTAATATTATATTATATTATATTTTTTTAAATCAAATAAAAACGTTCCACAGTCTGAGACTGAGAGCTGAGAAGGTTCGCCAGTCTGGCACCCGCTGGCTGCCAGTCTCAGTCGTCTAACAGACTAACACCCTCCCTCTCTCGGATTCTCGTTCTCACATACTCCTCTCTCGCCTCAGTCTCTATGAACTCTCTCTTGCCTCTCAGTCTCTCTCAGAGTTCTCTCTCTCTCCTCTCTGTTTTTTTCTGAACTCTCTTTCTCTCTCTCTCTCGAATTCTCTGGTTCTGCCCTTTAGCGCTCTGCCCTCAGATTGATTCACCAACCACCTCTGAGGCTCCAACACCGGCGATCCGTAACACTGGAGGCTTGGCCTGCGGGTTAGAGGCTAATGCTTATGGGCTACATTTTTTTTTTAATTTTAAGGACATAAAAAAATCGAAAAACTGAACCGCAGTTAACTGATCCACCGGTTAACCAGTTGTATCAGTTCAGTTGAATGTAAAAACCAAACCTATCGGTTCAATCCAAAAAATTACCCCGCGGTTCGATTAATCGAACCGTGAGCACCCCTGGTGTTAGTTACCGTCCCTCCTCACATTGGGCCAATGGGCCTCCCATCTCGGAGGGGGACGAGCTTGTTCTTGTAGGCCCGTTAGGTTCACGGGCTTTACTGGGCTAAGCCCTCAGTGGCGACTGGCGACAGTGGAGGATTGCTCAGTTCAAGAGGAGAACTAATAGACGAATACTTCGGAAGTTGTGCCTTTAATGGTTGAAACCCGAGTGGAGAAGGACGTTCAAGTGGCAAAATCTAAATCCTTTAGTCTTTCAAAGATTTGAAGTAGAAGCTGAGAACAAGAGAGAGTAGGGTGTTGAGATGAGCGGCTGCTACTTTGGCGCTCCACACCTGCACAAAAAAGAGAAAAGAGCAGCTGCCATACAATATGGATCCGAAACATCTATCTCTCAAACAAGATGTAAGAGAGAACTGGTAAATCTGGATGGGGCTGAAAATTTGGAGGTTACTTGACCTTCCAAGATATCTGTTCTTTTTCACATTTTGCTATCTTTATAATAGCCACATATATAGGTCTCTGCCCAGAGCCCGGATCTCCTGCCCACAAGTACCTTACCCACGTTTATCTTAGCCACACATGGAGAACATCTCATTCTCTGCATAGTATTATGCAGGGGGAGATGTTCCCAATTCACGGGGATCTCCTACCCACAAGAACCCTGCCCACATTTATCTTAGCCACACATGGAGAACATCTCATTCTTTGCATAGTATTATGCAGGGGGAGATGTTCCTAGTTCATGGGGGGTGGTGTATTGTGGGTTCTCGTGAGCAAGAGATCCGGAGTCCTTTGGAGCCTGGATCTCTTGCCCACGAGAACCCTGTCCACGTTTATCTTACCCACACATGGAGAACATCTCATTCTCTGCATAGTATTATGCAGGGGGAGATGTTCCTAGTTCATGGGGGGTGGTGTATTGTGGGTAGGCGTGGGCAGGGTTCTTGTGGGGAAGACCAAAGTTAAGGCCTCTCTAGATTGAGACAACTAAGAATCTAACCTCTGGTCATCCAATCTAGATTGGGTTAAATGGATATCCATTGACCCGATAAGAGTTGGAACTTGGATCCAGAATAATTCAACAATATTGGTATCTCTATGCATAAAATCATTTTCAAATAAACAATCAAATATTTTTTTATAGAAAATAAAAAATAGGTAATAATTTAAAATGAATGATTGTGTGTGAGAGTGTTGCATAGAGATAACCACAAAAAAAAAAAAACATCTCCCATCAACATGTGGTT